CTCGCTCGAGGGCCAGTCGCAGTTCGCGTTTGAGCTTCTCGACCTCTTCGCGGTTGGAGCCCTGGGCGCGGTCCTTTTCGTGGAGGGCACGGTCGCGTTCACGGATCATGTCGGCCAGCTCCAGGTTCTTGGTCTTGACCTCGCGTTCAAGGCGTTCTCGGCGTTCAATGGCTTCCTGGGCCGATGCGGCTTTGAGCTTCAAGGACTGGTTGGTTTTGAGCAGGTCGATGTGCTCAGCTCGGAGCACCGCATACAGTTTGGCCAGGGCCTCGTACTTAGATCGCCACTTGTTGATCTGTTCCTGCAATGCGGCCATCTGGTCATCCTTGGATTGGGATTGCATCTGGTAGTTGGCGTTGAGCTGCTGAAGTTGTTCCTCCAAGGCCTTCATGCGTTGATCATATTGCTGCAGCATCAACTGATCTTGCTCATACTGGGCCCGGGCATTGAGGTTCTCCCGCTCCAACTCGGCCAGGCGACCTTGAGTCTGTGCGGCGTACTGATCGCGGAGGAGTTGTTCTTGAGCCAGACGTTGCTGCTCGGCCTGCACGCGTTGCTGTTCCTCGAATTGCCGCTGCGCCTCTTGCTGGGCCAGCAACTGCTGACGCTGCTGCTCTTCCCGCTGCTGCTGCAGGCGGCGTTGTTCAGACTCATACTCTTCTTGTTGACGCTGGGCCTCGCGGGTCCAAAAGTCCTCAATGTCCTTTTGTCCGTTGTCCGGGCTGCCGTCATTCTTGGCCACGGGGGTGGGAGGTTTCTCAATTTCTTTGGCAGGGCGTTTCGGGAGAGCCGGTCTCTCTTCGTCGGCGATAAAGAGATTGGGGGGGTCCTGCGGCAGTTTGGGGACCGTGATCAAGGAAGTCAGGTACCGCAGGTTGGAACACTCGTAGTAGAACTTGACGAGGCGATAGTGTTGAGCGTTGAAGCGGGCACGGAGTGGTTCCAACGCCTCCTCGTCACCAGTAGTCGTGTACATAGCACGGATCATGCTGGTGCAGAACTTGTAGATGCCGTAGGTTTCCTGGACACTGGCCACCACGGCTGCAATTTTGCACTCGTTGTTACTTCCCGGCAGAAAGTGAGAGAAGATGACCTTTGTCATTGTATCGAGCCGATCTTGCAAGTTCATGAGATCGGTGATGGTCTCATAACCTTCATTGGGGTCCATGATTGACCGGAGACTGATGTAATCTTCATACTCAAACAGCCCGTTGAAGTCTGGATGGAGGCGGTGGAAGGCCAGTTTGGCCAGGATGTAGTGGACGTATTCGCGGATGAGGGGTTGGTATGCTCGCATTCCGTCTCCTGTACCGCCTCGAGCGATACTCTCGATCCAATTGATGTGTTGCTGCGCCTCTTTGATCGTGACAGGGTGGCCCTCTTGAAGGACCTTGTGGATGGTGATGCAGGCTTTGAAGGTCTGGACTTCGTCTGCCATGATCGGCCTGTTCTCTCGTTAGCACCTGAGCGGGGGAGGGATGAGAGAGAAAAGTACAGAGCCATAACGTTGGAAGCGAAGATACAGGCATCGAAGAGGCGTTTAATAACGTCCACGGGCATGGAAAAGACTGCCATGATGGAGGGGGGGCCCGAGCGCCGGCGGGACAGAGAGCAATTGGGAAGAGAGAGAGAGAAGGGGGGGGGGAAGATGGAGGAGAGAGAAGACATACAGGACTTTCAATCCAGCCCAGAAGGACTGGGAAGAGCGATGATCCCAAGTGTACACTATGCAGGAGCGAACATGCTTTCTCTTAGGCGCAGTCTCCTCGATGCTGGTGGCCTTGCGGATATTAACAGCAAGATCCGACTCTGTTTTGGCCATATCTATGTTCCGACCCGTGCCCGTCGCCAGCGCGGGGTATGCCATTGTGTTTGAATGGTCGTCGACCACCTGAGTCCTGCCAAAGCCGTCGTAAAATGCGCCGGCACCCGAACGCCTCCTGGGCCGCGGGTCCTGGTTCGGGGGGACGAAGTACGCCAGATTGACCGGCTGGGGTTCGCGGAGGGGGGGGAGCCGGAGGAGGAGCAACTGCGGAGGAGCTCAACAGCGTCGTTGAGGCATTCGAGGGTCGGGCGCAGGCAGGGGGGAGTGTGGTGAGATGGAAGGTGCGGAGGACGTTTGTTTTTTGCGCAGTTTGATATTTCGGGGACACGCGGCTGCCGCAGCGCGGCTAGACTGGCTTTGGTTTAGCGAGTCTTGGCCATTTGGTGAGCTGCACGTGAGAAACGCGAAAGTGCTGAGACTTGGCGGCAAGTTTTCCGAGGACACGTGAAAACGTGAAGTGGTTTCGTTAGCGCGCGTCTCTTCTTGGCAGTCACGTCAAACTCCGCAAATCCCACCATTTGATTGGCCAGATGCTGGTACCGATCACTTTTGGGCGTGGTGGTGCCCCCAAGCGCCCAGAATGATGCCCGGAAGCGCCCGAAAGCACTGCACCTCGACATGACCACCCACCCACACCCGCCAACACCCACTGCAATCCTCTGCAATGCAGTCTGCAGTACTGCAGCGATTATTCCTGCCCCTCAAATACATCAGAGGATGTGTTGTTTGCGTGCTTGTCGATTTGGTGGTTGGTTGACTGGTCAGATCTGATTAGTCACCGTATCTGCGGTCCAAGGCGAGAACACGACAACGTGTAGGATAAACACAGGATCCATGACTTGAAAGTACCGAGGACTGTGTTAGTCGGTAGGAGATTGATAGCTGGAGAGGTGAGATATGGTGCAGCGTGGGTAGTTTCGTGCAGACAGATATGTGGGACGAGGCTGCAATGCGAGATGGCATATCCCCTTGTTGAGATGCGGGTAGGAGAGCGGAGTATGAGAGAGAAGAGGGAGAGCAGGCAGTATCATAGAAGAGGGACAATGGGGACCTTGACTTGAGATAATGACAAGGTCCAAGTTGATTCTGAATATCAGCAGAGAACCATCTACCCATCCAGTCCTCGATCCTCCAGGTCTTTGACATTCTTTCTCTCAAGATCAGATCAAGTAGACTCGACTCTCTTTGAATCTGGCCCGTACTCCCTCAATTCAACTGTCCAATCCTGATTCCCACGAGGATTCTCTCTCTCACTTCGTCCTCGGCCGGCAATCAATCCCTGATTGGGTGTCTCTCATACCGTACCCACACCCCTTTGGCTGAGGGATTGATTTCCAACATATAATACATGATAGTTTGATGGCTAGGACCTACTCTCTGATCGCTTACAGCCCATTACTCGTCAGTACGTAGTGTGATGGTGTTGTGAATGAGCTGCATCAGGACTTGATCTTGCAAAGGGAGAACTATCGATCAGTAGACTACCCCGCACCACCAGGCAGGCAGTCCATCACAGCGGACAAAGTAAACAGGAGGATAAAAGGGCGTATCACCATGTCTGATTGTCTCTCCGGTTCAAGAACTGAAGGTCAAAGTCAAGGTGATGCGTAAACAATGCATCTCCCGTGCCGCGATGCCCGAGTGACCCCTGGAGAAACATGCCTCCGCAGACCCCCCAAGTGCCGGCTGCACTCCTGAAGAGACTGAAAGACCACTATCCTCACGTAAAATAATCTATTCCTCAATCTCAATGCTGCTCATCATTATTGCCAGTGTCATGGGCGGTGATGGGTGCAACGCGCAACAAACTCAAAAGGCCCCCCCTGAAAGTTACTATCACGCTAAAAGACCGCACTTATTTGCGGCGACACACGCTGCGCCGCAATTGGCGCCCACTGGCCTGGTGGTTTACTGGACGTATCCCTGGGTGTTAGGCACCCTTTGGGTAGTAACAGGGTGTCAATGGGCATCAAACAGAGCGTCACCCACGTCGCTGTCGCTGCGAGAATGCTCGGGCGGCCTACGTGGGTGGCGATAATTCACGGATTTCGCGCCACCAAACACTCAAATAATACGTAACTTGGTTATAATGCCTGTCGGTGAATCTGTATATCAAGAAGGGCTACTTTTGACTATAATTACATGGAAATTCGCTGTGTAATGGCATTTGGTTGCGAAACGTGTCCCTGCGGTGGCAAATTTGGGCCGAGTGGCAAAAACGCGGGACGGACGATGGCCTGCAGAACCTGCAGAACCAGCAGAACCAGCAAAACCAACAGAACAGCAGCAGCCATTGCTTTGCCACGGGGATTCTTTCAATCCATTCAAGTAAATGGACTGATCAGATACCTTTTTCGATCAAATCAATCATTGAATCTGTCAATGGCATAATCGGATGCTGTCGCCCCGGCCACTGCCCTTTCCTGTCCAACTCCCCCTGGTGCATCAACCACCACCTGATGGACTCATGCGCTTGCGGTCAATCTAAAGGTTCATCCCGCTCATAATTCCCAAGACGTCACCAACCAACACCGGCATTGACCCCATCTTGCTCATCAACTACACGATGGAGACACTCCACAACGCTCCGGAACGCTCCGCAATTCTCTGCAATGTCGCTCGAGTCGTGAATACAAGACCCCCGTCAGTTCCTGAGAGTTCCCATCCAGCTGGAGACATTCTCGCTATGCACAACCCTCATATTCACCTCCGTTGTCGACACCGACACCCACCACAGGGGTATCCTTGATGCTCGCCGCGCGTGTCACATCATGATTGGTCAATAACTCTCTACCAAAGTCCCAGAGTCCCAGGGTCCAGAGTCCTAGGTCAAGCCCCTGACCGCCAACCAGACGCCTGGTGCCAAGATGGTTACACCCGCACTCTCCGGAAAATATAAGGCTGGCACAGCCGTATGCCACAACTCTACCACTCCCACCACCACTTCCTCCATCTGACGACAGCAAAAATCCTCCTCGGTCATTCGGAGAGCTGCCTCACCTCAGCTTCAGCGTTGGGGTTGATTTGCCTCGAAACGCCTCGTCAGAAGTCCTACTTTTCGCTTCCTCCTCGTCTCAGCCTCGTCCCGATAGGAGACCTCTGAGAAATCTATCAACGACGGCAAATATTCGTGATTTCTCCCTGCAGCCGGCCTCAAGACCGAGTCCTGGACGAAATGGAACCGCAAAGCCCAGTCAAGACGAGAGCGGAGTCGTCGGCCAGAGTACCAAACACGGACGAAAACCGTCCACCGGCGACCAGCTACCCTTGGGAAGCCTCACCCCATCACATACCTAACAGCCTACACAGACCATCAAGAAGCGAGACGTCGATCCTCTCTACGAACGTCGACCCCGAAGGACAACAGACAAGCATGTATAGGCCCGAAAGAGAAATGTGGAACATGGGCCAACACGAAGCGCAGCCTGGCGTGGGCATACAAGCAGCCAAGAGAAGGAGGGAGGGAACCGAAGATGGAGACACCTCTTTCAAGCTACCAAGATGGAATGGGGATGCGTCGGGGACATCTGCGAGGGAGCCATATGATGAGGCTAGAGATTGGGGGACTTCGGAGATCTGGGGGGGACCCGAGCAGGCGGATCAGCAGGCGCCGAAATTTGGAGTCATCCTTAAGAGCGGCAGAACCGCTTGGACAGACATTGATACCGCGTGCCCTAAAGTCAACAACTATCCAGCCCTACCGCCTGACCATCCAAACTACGCTCGGACAGTCACCAAACAAGAACTGAATGCTTTTATTCTGCGACATCCTTATTCGACGCACAAGCGCCATGAGTTACTTCCGAGATATTTCGGCCCCCGGGGCCGGCTCTACATGAAGGGTGTCGGAAAGGAGTTGATAGAAGAGTGGTTCCGCGCTCGGGACGACATCATCGAGGCGAAAGCACAATGGCCCGAGGATATGATATCAGAGACACTCATGGCCAACTGCGTGCAGAAGTACGGTGAAACCGTGGACCGGCATTCACGGCTGAAGACGCGTGGGGTGTACTCGGGCAATGGGACTTTAACATTGAATCAGAGACTTGCCGATCTTAACAAAAAGCTCACGGAGCTCGACAATCTCTACCTGACGGAGAAGAGAGAGCGTGAGCGGCGGGATCGCATGCTCGGGACCCTCCATGGTCTCCTCACTGGTGATGTCGGAGAATACCTCGCCACATCTCTGCCGGGAAGCCCGACCGACCACGAGGACCGTGCATACGCGGAGGTCTCGAAGCTCTGGCTGGGCTTCATGGACGAGGAGCCCGGAGACGAGGAGCCTGAGGACGAGGGCATGGATGTCGACGGTCCTGTTTCAGAAGAGTTGGTCAGGAAGAATGTCATGGGTCTGAGCCGAATTCTGAACGTCTGAACCACCACCATCAGACGGACGGCGTCGGCACTGATCGGCGGTCGGAGCGATCGGTCGTATAGCAGATGTATACCACAAGGACAGAAGGGAATGGAAAGGGCCGTATGCCTCTGTCTCTGATTCTTCCTCTACCTCTACTTCTGTCTCTGCTTCTGCATTGACCTAGCCTAGCCGCAGGCAGGCAGGCAGGCAGGCAGGCAGGCAGGCCTCAGTCTCCAGCCTTAGCTTCAAGCCTCAAGCCTCAGTCTCAGCCTCATCAGAGTACCCAAGCACCCAAGGGTGTATGCAATTTCGGAAGACGAGAGGCGTTGTGATTGCTCTCACACCCACCCACCCAGCCCTTGCCTCCGTCGTTGCGTTGGCAGGGTGGGTTACACGGAAATCAAGGGAGTAAGTAATCTGAGCGGTGATTGCGAATTGAAAACCTGTTTGTGGCGTTGTTGGTGTTGCTGTAAGTGGTTGATTCCCAAAACAACCAGCCAACAAGCCGGTCAGCCGCCCGTCGAAATACGAGAAATGGTGGCTTCTGCCAACAAATTACCTGTCAAACCCGGTCACACAAACATTAGGCAGCCATCACCCACCGCACCGGCCGGAATGTGGACTTGTGTTGGATGGTTGCCTGGCAATGAATGATCCCCTGGCAAGAGTTCTCATTGATCTTTCTTCTTCCTCCAGGTCTGCCTTATATTGAAACGTCCCTTCTCTCTCCCAAAGTGACGACACGGGCAGCAAAGAAGACCACCTTTTGGCTTTGGCTATCGCGGTCGTCTGCGGAACAGCAACATCGACATCGACACGCTCACCACTCACCACTCACTTGATCGGTCGACGGAGACCCCCGTCTTTGCAGCCCTTTGCAGAGAAAGGAAAAGAAGCTCATCATCATGCCTGTCAAAAGCAACGGCTCCAATGCGGGCGGTTCCAAAACTGGCGGCTCCAATACAGGTGGCTCCAATACAGGCAGTTCCAATGCAGGCGGCTCCAATGCGGGCGCTGTAAGTGTTTGATGATTCCCCCCCTCCCGGCAGCCTGCCTATTCAATACTGAGTCAGTGTTGTAATGATTCCAGACCATCAGCTATCGGTTCACGTACACGACCTGTCCCCTCCACGAATACAGCAAGATCAGCGCCGTCGACGGCCGCGGCCCGATCTGGTTCTGCGAGAAGTGCACCCGCGTCCACACCGTCGTCTGGCAGTGCACCTTGTGCGGCCACAACCCCTGCCCCAGCTGCCAGCACGACAGCCCGCAGGTGGACGGGATCGAGGCGACCAACCGGACAAGGTACCGTTAGGTTAGTTGGACAAGAAGGTGCAACAAGAGAATAAGGACACGGGGGCAGGGGGCAGGGGGCAGGGGTGTAGTGGCGAAAAAACTATCAGGAAGAATGACATTGTCGAGAGTCGGAATGTGCGTACGGACCACGGGGAATTGTTGGAGGGAGTGACGTTACAATGAGCATGAACGAGCAGAGAAGGAATTGATTGATGGACACTCGTTTGAATTGATTGACTATCTATGCGGTTGGTCCCTGTCCGAGGGCATTTATGTATGCAGGTCAATGTGATGATCGTGTCCAACCCGTAGCAATAATCCTGGCAAAGGTCCTGCCTTGCCTCCCTTGACTAATGATATCCAAGATGACTCCAATTGAAGTTGATGGTTTCCAAGCCGAAATGTCTCTGAGACAAGAGTCCAATTGACGTTGTTGTTTTTTTCCAAGTTGAAATGTGTTTTTATGGCAGAGATAGCGAAGGTGAAGGTAGATGGCTAACGCAGGTTAGATTGGATGCACAGCAGAACAGGGAGAGAGAGATACTTACCAATAGAACATAGTGGAAGATGAATGAAGGACTGAAGTGAGCAACAATGGCTGAAGAGCTGACTGAAGAGGATTGAAGAAGATGGCTGAAGAGCTGACTGAAGATGACTGAAGAGGATGGCTGAAGAAGCTGACTGAAGATGGCGGC